CTGACAAAGGCTCATGTTTTCCCCTCCTGGTTTTCTTTTTTAATGAAGAATCCAATGGAGAGTGTTATCATGTAGTTATCAGCAGGCCATGAAATGGGGAACATCAGAAGTTCATTCAACTCTTTCTTTTGCTCCAAGTTAAACAGAATCATCAAAGGGCACAAAAGAAAAACTCACACAAAGACAAACTGTTAGGATTTAGGAAAAAAGAAAAAACAAACAAAACAGGAGCAAAAATCCAAGACCACATTTATTCGGCACCTTTCCCATGTCAGGGTGCATAACAGAGCATCCCAATGGACTGGCAAAGGAAGAGCATGGCCAACCTACAGAAACAGCTAACCTCTCCTTGCATACCAGCAAGGCCACTGCTGCAACAAGCCAGGCCTTAGGTCCCTATTTGAAGGGCCACACCTGGTGTTTACATGATTAGACCCTTCTTCAGGTACATTGGGAGCACACTGGGATGCCCTAGTCTAGGCATCATCTACATCTTGGCATTTACTACTGGGCACCATAAAAAGGGAGCTATGCTGAGGTGGAAATACCACTGGATTCAAGCCTACTCATAAATAAGGAGTGTGTTGTCCTTCCAAAGACATACCCTCCCCTTCTATTACCAAGGGGTGTTCCACAAGGTGAAGCAAGATAGAATCATAGAATAGTTAGGGTTGGAATGGACCTCAAGATCATCAAGTTCCAAGCCCCCTGCCATGGGCAGGGACACCTCGCACTAAACCATCTCACCCAAGGCTCTGTCCAACCTGGCCTTGAACACCGCCAGGGATGGAGCATTCACAACCTCCCTGGGCAACCCATTCTAGTGCCTCACCACCCTCACAGTAAAGAACTTCTTCCTTATATCCAATCTAAACTTCCCCTGTTTAAGTTTGAACCCATTACCCCTTGTCCTATCACTACAGCCCCTAATGAAGAGTCCCTCCCCAGCATCCCTATAGGCCCCCTTCAGATACTGGAAGGCTGCTATGAGGTCTCCACGCAGCCTTCTCTTCTCCAGGCTGAACAGCCCCAGCTTTCTCAGCCTGTCTTCATACAGGAGGTGCTCCAGTCCCCTGATCGTCCTCGTGGCCCTCCTCTGGACTTGTTCCAACAGCTCCATGTCCTTTTTATGTTGTGGACACCAGAACTGCACACAATACTCCAGGTGAGGTCTCACAAGAGCAGAGTAGAGGGGCAAGATTTTGCAGCTATTCATGGAAGTGTTCTTAAACCTCTGGATACATTAACAATGCGACAATATGACAGAAAGGCTGCTGCTGGAAAAGGGTCAATGCATGTATAAACATCATATTCTCCATCACCTTCAAATTATGTGAATCTGTCATACAGCCTACATGCATACATTTGGCTTGTGCATTAAAAATACACCTGAATATTTAAGTATACCCCATACACTGTGCACACAATATGCACCACATGCATGCTTAGATCTGCAATACTGGTAAAGAATTATAATGCTGTCATACAACTAATGCCAAGTGTTTTGAAAACATGAGAAGTGAAAATCTTTGCTCTCCCAGGACTCCTTTGCAATGTCTTACATATAGAATTTCAGGCTCCAAATTCAAAGCGAAGCTTAGCACAGGGGAAATTGCAATTTTTCTTGAAGGCTCAAAGGAAAATTCAGGATTATATGAAAGACATGAGGTTAGTTATTAGCAATGCTGCTCTTCAAAGGAGCGTGGAAACTGAGAAGACTGATGTCATGGGAAAGCCAAGCAATTGGTGAAAATGTTTTTAAAGGTTAACCCTTCTACTGGTTCTGAAGAACTGTAGAGACTTGGTAAGATTTCCTTCCTGCTTGCTCTGTGCCAGAAGTACGATTCCTTAGGCTTATCGCTTCCAGTGAACCTGTTTTCCTACTTAAAGTTTCTCATCCTCATTTTATACTTTGATATAAAGCTGGTACCTGCAGCACTGTAAACACAGCAGCATATCAGCAAGAGCAGTCCTTCCCAATTAGCACATATCGGCTACTGCAAAGCCGCTAAGAGCCTTCCAGTCCACACTGACCTCCTAGGGGTCCCAAATAGAGTAGCAGACGTGCATGGGTACGGTCACTATTGTTTGTTCCATGTGAGCACCATTTGCTCAAGCTGCTGGCATGAAGCTAAATTAAACCAGAAGCATGAGAGTATTGCACCGTTTGGGCCTAACATCAGCATGATTGAAAAGCAGATAGGACAAATGCTGGTCTTGCACCTGCCCTCCACTCATTAGTCTCCGATGTTGCCTGCAGCCCACTGGTCTTGCATAAGATGCACACGGATGGAGGGATGCAAAGGCAGGTTTGAAGCAACCTTGCCCACATTCAGGTTTGCCCACCTCTGCCTCCTGTGTCAGACCTCAACTGAGCCAAAACAAAGGTAAAAGCATGCTGCTTCACCAGGATCTGTGGCATAACAGATCCATTCCATGCACACAGGCAGCCAGAACATGGTCCTCTTTCTGTTCTTCTTTTAACGAAAATTGACAGGCCAGTGCTTCTATTAAGGTGGCTTGCAGCAGAAATAGAGAACATGTAACAGTGACCCACCCCAAATAAAACACACAATCCTTTTGCTTAATAAAAGCATTGCTTCTGCTAGTCATTACTTTAAATTTCTGTAAATTCCTTGGCGTGGTCCTGGCTATACATCACTTCAAGGTTTTTACTGATCACGCAAGTCAAAATCACCATCTTCCAGGAATCACGGAGATGCATTTTGTGTCTATATACAGACAGTATCAAAAATAGACATCCCTTAGCATCTCTGAATGTGTGTGCTCCTTCCAGAATAATGGTTTACATGATAAGGTATTCAGCAACTGTAATTACACTTTAAGTGTATATCCTGCCTTAATCCAACAGAACTTTCAGCTTTCTTTTGGAGGCATAACAGTTGAATTGATCTCTTATACAGAGGGACAAATTTAATTTTCCAGCTCCAATTTGGAAAAGAATGCCTATTCAAGACAGCACTTAAGCTTCACGGAAGTCAATGGGACCTAAACACATGTTTACAATTAACCATGTGCTTAAGTGGTGGTCTGAACTGGGGTGAATAAATGTGAAGTCAGTAGGTCTGCTTGCATAAGAAAGAATTACCAGTCTGGGAGAGAATTACAGAATTTGGCTATAAGAGGAGGAGGGGGATTAGTAACAAATGTGTCATTCCTGAAAGTAATTTACTTAAAGAAAGCCATGGCAGAGCCGTTTAAAGTATGCACTCAGATTAATTAGAAGGACAGACTTAGAACATAATTATCGACCAAGGACAACTGTAAATTTGTAATAATATATCAGAATCATCAAGTGACTTTCAAATGAGATCTACAGAACCAAACATCCTGCTCAGATTTAATGAGTTCCAGCTCGTTTCAGGGCTAGGTTGGGACTTCACACAGAAAACCGAGTAAGTGCAGGCCAGAGAAGTAATTGTGGCTTCAAAAAATGAAATCAAAGAGCATATGTAGGAGCTCCAAACCCCCCAAATTTTTTTTTGCCATAGCAGTGTATGATAAAATATGAGAACTCGTCAACAGTTTAAGAGGTTTAAGCTCCCAGATATCATTGACTGATAAGGGCCTTGTAGATTGTCAGACATTTCTCTTGGTACTCTTAACATAAAAGTTATGATAAATCCCTGTATTTGACATATTTAAAGAAACACACTATGAATTCCAGGCCAGTTTATCATGTACATCACTTATCCTCCTTCTTCAAAGGGCTTGCTCAGGATTACTGACACGAGTAGCTGGTACATCTACATTTGATGAAGTTTGCACACTCCTTTTACGCAGAAGAGGAAAAGGAACCATCTCCAGATGTCACCCCAGCTCTGTGAGATCAATGAGAGGTTTAACAACTAAGAACATTTGGAATAAAAGACTTAGGTTCGGGGTTTTTTTTTTAAATCAGTGCTCCTACTGCACTTTTAATGCATTATGGTCATGGTTGGCTATGGAAAGTGACCCTCCAAGCTGGATTGACAGCACTTTTTTCAGTGCTAGAAGCTTAAAAACCAAATCAACAACAATTTGAAGAGCATAGAAGCAACTGGAGCCCTTGAAAGCAATGAAGGGCTTCAGCAGCTCCAGTTGAGCTCACCCCAGGGCAGCCACATCTCACTGCAACCACACCAGGAGGCTGCAAGTCCCTGCAGGACCCTGAAGCAGCAGTGGGAGCCATCGCCTCCAGACATCTCCCTCCTCCTTACCAGCTCCAAGAGCAGCAGAAACAGCAACCTGGGCACCTGTGCAGGCTTTTTCCTTTGCAACAGATAATGCTGGTGTCCTTGCACCCACAGGGCATGCAACTATTCCAAGGCTTTACAGGTAATAACCCAGCTCCAGAGGCTTCAACAGCTTTGGAAGTTACTAATTAATACACCACAGCTGCTCTACCTTCTTCCACAGTACCTAAATCTGGTGAACGTGTGTGTTGTCAGGTTAAGGAGTACAGGGCTCTGAGGTATGAGGAGGAATATGCCATTTCCTCAAATTTTCCTCTCCTAAACTCCAGGCGTGATTCTCCAGGGAGTCAATACATTAAAAAAAGCGATCCTTCAGCTGCATGCCAAGTGTCTATGTACACAAGGCATAGCATACACATGAGCAGGGATGGCATAACTGCTACTGAAGTAATTTACATGCTTCAGAGCCCTGGTAGGGCTGCTGCTACATTTAGACGTATCCACATGCCTCTGAGTTCCCAGGATAAGCTGCAGCATGGTGTCCTTCCTAGAACCCTCTCAAACACACACAAGAGGCAGGCTCTCTGCCTGAAGATCTTTTCACAGGAAGGGGATTGTCTAGCTGCCAGGACAAGTGCCAACCCCCCAGTTGCTTTAACAGGCTACCCCCAAGAATTTAGACTTTACACACACAGGGTTACAGCTGGCCTCAGAGACACCAGAAAATTGATGCAAGCAACACCTCTGACTAATAGCAGAAATACTTCTGTCTAAACAAGCAACAAAATACCAACATCTACTTACCTGCTGCCATTCCTTTAAGACCCTGAGACATTTCTGAAACTAACAACAATCTTCCACAGGTTAGAAACCTGTTCCTCCACTACACATATCCAAGCCTCATGCTAAACCACCCAGTATAACCCCAGCTCCAAACCCCCTTTCCTGAAAGGGGTCCTTGAAGGGCCTCTTTTGAAATATCACACCCTCTGTTTCGGCTGACCTACCTGATTAGCATTAATAGGTGATCAAAATCCCAGTCACATCATCTGTTGCTTAATTACCACCAGCTCAGGCTGGGAAAACAAGTTAGGAGGCCACTCCTTTGCCCAAGCATGCTCTGCCCCAGTGTATGATCATCCAAATGTCACTACCATTACTGTGGACTCTGGGCCAGGTGCAGGAATTTCTTTTGCTGCTTGCTATGGAGTTCAGATTAGCACAGAGGCAAAAGGCAGAGAGAGAAGGCAAAGAAGGTCTATGCTTAACCTGGGATTTGTAATATGACATGGATACACCCAGTTCATGCTTCCCAGAGCAACTCCCCAGTTGGTCACACCATGTTCAGGACAGAGCAGAAGACTGTTAAGGAGGGTCTAGATATACGCTCCCATTTTAGAAAGTCTTTGCTGTGCTGCAGGTGGACAGAGAGCAGCATAAGCCCCTCAGTTTCAGAGCTGATCCCCACATCGGTGTCAGGGGCTGGCAGCTTGCTCACTGAGCACAGAACTGGATGTGGGTGACAGAGCTGGTCTCTGCCTGATCCCTGCACCACCAGCCTGACCCATGTTCTGTGATCAGCACCAGGCAGCCATCACAGAGGAGCATACGCTCCACAGCTTCTGGCTGGCTTTGGATGCACCAGATGCAGCTGGTCAGCAGGCTGATCAGCAGTATTTGGCACATGGGCTCCCAAAGCCAGAGAGAAACCACAGTGCAATGCCGGGAATATATGAGTTGTCAGCACCGCAGCGGGAGAGCAAGAGACAGGGATGAATGGAGGACACTGAGCTGCTTAAATCCGTGCCTGCACACACAACGCCTGCCAGAGGACAGAGTGATATGGACAAGGAGGCTGAGGCATGAGGGTTTGGGCAGCTTGGCCAAGGACATGAGGTGGCACGGTCAGGTATCTGAAGAAGGGCCCAGGATTAGCATGATGGAAGGGACTTAAACTTCCTGTGTTTAAGTCCTCTCCCTGTCCCTATACAAAACAGCCCCTGTGGCCGTAGCATGCCTTTTCTCAGCTTGTTTTCTCTCATCCTCATTGTAAGACAGGGCCCTGGCTTCCAACATGCAGTACCTCTGTCACCTGCTGCCTTGCAGAACCCTCTGTGCCAGAACGCCGCACTCAGCATGTCCCACTGCTGCAGAAGCTGCTGCTGTTAGTGCTATCTGTCACCCAGCACAAGCAGCAAGTGGCAGTGGGCTCACAGCAAGCACAAAGGGAAACAAAACAGGGCTGGAATGGCAGAGCAAGCACCTCTGGGAAGCAGATCCCTTTTTTCATCGGGATGCGCAGCCTGGCTACAGCATGGTTTGGAAGCAGCAAAAGATACACCAGCATCAAAGGGGCACTCAGCAGCCCAGGGCAGCTTCTTGCAACCATTATTCTCGTTATTCTTTCCTTTTTTTCCCTTTATTTCCTTTTCTTTGGGAAACAGACTTCATGACACATTGCACCAAGTGTTTTGCTCATCTCATTTACCTCCCAGCCAACAAACCTGAGGTGTTCTGCTGGCACTAACAAACTGCCTCCCATGAGCCCACATGCATGGCATGTGGCTCCCTCCGCAACTCATCAGACCAAAACATTGCTCCTCCTTCATCCCAAACACATATGCACACACACACACATATATATGCAGGGCAACAAGATATGCTCCTTCTGACTGTTGGATGCCCCGAGGAGGTGCTGCAGATACATTCAGGGGACCATCAGTCCAGCAGGCCAGGCAGGAGCCAAGTCACTCCTTATATGATTTGATGTCTCTCAGATCTCCCCTGGCTAAGATGCCTTCCCATCTTCTTAATAGAAATGCATCCCACAAACTGGCCCGCTTTCTGTTATTTCACTGTTACTCACAATAGTCCTATTTTAATTGTGTTACAGAGCTTTTCTGTACCCAAAATCTGCCTGAATGTTCTCCTCTAGGTGCACGATAGCAACCTGTTTTATGTGGCAACAGCTAAGGAGGGAGAGCCTTGGGAGGGAGGCTGCTGTCACCTCTGTAGCAACATTTTGGATGCTGGGGTCCTTCTCTGCAGATGATGGATGTGGCACTATTGCACTTTGGACTACACAGGGAATGCAGATCATCCATTAATGGCAGAGCAGGGAGCTCCTCGTCATGGGACACTGTGGGCAGGGGGGGCTTCATGGGTTCAAAAGGCAACCAGGGAAGTTCATAGCAAAGACATGCATGGAGGACTAATTGCTATGATGACTTTGATCCTTTGATACTCAGGCACTCCCGAGACACAAATTGCTGGGACCGGATGAAAGCCATGCACAAGTGACATTATCTGCTTGCCAAGTCCTCCTGCTGCATCCATGCTGTCCGTGCAGAGACTGGACACTGAGCTAGGTGGACCACTGCTCCCAGTGAGGAAGAAGGGAGTGGGCCCAGCATTTTCCTAGTTTCTTCCTGTTCCAGACAGCTGTCTTATCTCCTGGGGTCCCAGGAAGCAGGGGAGATTCACAATCCTGCAAGAGGACCAGTCCTGCCAGCATGAGACAGGGAGAGCATGCCCCTGCACATGTGTTGCCGCTGCACCATGCCACTGGCTCCCCTGGGGCAGGCAAGGATGTGGCACTGGGATCCTGCTGCCTACTGGCAGGAGGATAATGTGGATGTGTAACACTAATGACTGCCCAGGGCAATTTATCAATGCCCTTCTGTGGCAGCTCATGCCCTGTGAAGACAAAAGAGACTCAAGGCATTAGATCATGAAATTTAGGGCCTGACCCGAACTTTGAAATAAAGCTTCATCTGAGAGAGAAAAGGGAATGACAGAATCATGTGTGTGCACGTATGTGTGATTCAGGCAACCTCCCTTTGTTTCAGTCCACTGCTCTCACAGGGCATCTCACTGCCCAGCGGGATTAGGCACATCTGGGGGCTTCAGGATTTCCACCAGCCATTGGGATGTTCCATGAAGCAGTCAGCCAAATATAAGACACAGCCCAGGGCTGCTGGCACAGTCCCTCCCCTGTTGACACAGGGGCTGGCAAGCAGAGAGTCGGGAGATGGAAAGGACCATGGAGAACAGACCTGTTGGATAGCTTTCTCTTGAGTCACTGCTGAGCACATTTTACACTGCAGCATCTGGAAAGAGCTCATGTGGTACATTCAAGCTATGCCAGAGATGTATAGCACAGTTTTCTGGCCTGCCAGCAGGCACAGTGCCAGTGTTTCACCATATTTATATATTTAAGTTTGGCTCATTACTGAGTTGCCTGTCCCACTTCAGAACGGGATCCTGCAACAAGTCCTTTGCAGTAACCCTGGAAGGCAGGAAATGGCATGTTCCCACACTGGAGACTGGCCATGGCATCACATCAACAACTGATAGGAAACACTCCCCACAGCTGCACCAGCAGCTCCACCCTGCCAGCACACACAGACCAGCCCACTCAGTGTTCATCGGGACAACAAGGAGCCTCCCCGTCGCACATTCACCACAGCCGGACCAAAGGGACCCGGCTGCATTTCATACAGATGTGCAATTCCTACACTGTGGAAGAAAGCGAATTGCGGCCTGGATGGCCCAAGAACATCAGCAGCATGAGCAAAAGCTCCCATGTTCCCAGGGGAAAAGGCATAGAGGTAGCAAGTGCCATTTATCATTCAACTTGCGCTGATCGACCCTGTATCCTCCCTGGGGAGCAGGAGCAGAGGCAGCACAAGGCGAATCAGGGAAGGGGTGATGGAAATAGCCTGAAGAACTTTCAACTGTGAGGTTATTGTTCTGAATCTGGCCCAGTCGTGACTTATACAACACCCATTTCATGGCCACGAGTTGATCATTAGGCTTCTTAGGTAGCAGCTGTTCACATCATTAAAAATACCTCTGGCAACCCTGGCCATCTTATCAGAGACACTGAGGATTTAATTGGAAAGGACACCATAAATATTCTCCTTCTGTCAGTCTAGATGATCCGCCTCAACCAGGCCTAAAACACAGTGATGGAAAAGCTGGTGCTACGCTTCTCCAGATCCAGTGAGTTTAGTCACCGAAGTAATGAGAGCAATGCATCAGTGATCAGTTTCTGGGAAATATTTGTTTAAATGGTAAAGAATCCCTAGAAAGCAATGAGCAAACATCTGCTGAACTGCGAGCAGCTTGATTTATCTATTTAGAACACAGTGCATTTAAGAAAAAAATAGCAGATTAGAGCTGGTATGTGTACACATTGTGAGTGAGGGCTTCCAGCAGCAAATTCTTGCTACAGAAGAGGACACAGCTAGTGCTTTCTGTTATAATTATGCAGGACAGTTTTTCTGCAGCCGCTTTCCTAGCAGTACTGGAAAGCTACTCCTTAAAGGAGACTTGCTCTGGTAACAGTGGGAGTTAATTGTTTTTTCAGTAGAGATGCACATGAAGTAAGGTTCAGACTATATCACCTTATCTTCAGTGGTGTCTCTCTGATGTTTCAGCCCTGGGGCAAGCCTTCGCTTTTGGAAGAGAAACTGAAAATAAAGATTTGGTGGGGTAGTTGTGTAAGTAATTTCTAGGGTTCATCTCTCCTCTCCCCCCATCTACCAGACAGAAATTATCACATTAATCCCTGTGATAATGAAATGGCAAATCACCTCTGAGTCCTGGGAAAGTGTCTAGTAAGGAAATATCTAGGATTTACTTCAGAGAATGAACCTATAGATTAATGAAATTTACATGCTTTATAGCCGTAAGTGAGCCTGGACCTAACAGGCACTCAGTGCTCCCAGCTGTATGAGTTCTGATTCGGAGAAAACTCCAGGAACAAAGTCGGCAACAGAGGTTCAAGTTGACAAGCAGGTATTCATTATTGCGGCGCCGGGAGACACAGGCGATAGCTCCTCCTAACGTGTGTCGCCGTATTCCCATGCGGGCCATCCTTAGGTGGTCACTGGGCATATTACATCATTTTCCAAAAAGTTTCCGGCGTGCATACAAAAATGCGATGGTGGTCTTCAAGGGTCGTTCACTTTTCCCAACAATCTCATCACCAGCCTAATTAACATTGCAGACACAGCAATCATCCTGCCCTTCTACTTACCAGTTGGTTTAACTGCTCCCATCCTGGACATCAGCTAGTCCCAGATACCCCCCAGTAGATGTTTACACCAGCTTAATGGATTTATTAACACCACAAACATAGCAATCATCCTGTCCTTCTACTTATCAGTTGGTTTAACTGTGCCCATCCTGGGCATCTGCTAGTCCCAGATACTCCCCATCCCCAGGTCCTGTTTTTCTATTGTTTTTCTTACACCTTTTGTACTAAGGTCCTAAGGACCTGAAACTATGTCAATTACCTTCAAGCACCGCAGTTATTTTCCATTACAAAGCCATCAAACTTAACATTACATAGAACTGGTTGTTTTGTGCTTTTGTGCCTCCTTGTCTCAGTTCACCTGTCAGAATCTGACCATAAATACCACAGCTATACCAGATTTTTTCCCATCTTTACCCAAAATTCCAGAAAAAGTCATCCTGCAGTTCTCTCCTACTTCCATCCCATTTTGTTACTTTGTTCCTATATAGGTATATTTCAGTTATATATATATTATAATGAAGGATATGTATATAGTCTATCTATATTACACCATATATAATTTAGTATCCATATTCACATACTGTATGTAAATGTTGGTTGGTTAGGAAATGTATTGTATAAATATACTACATTCCTTTGCTGCTTCAGTCGTGAGTACACTGAACTGCAGCTGTAGAAATAAGAGGAATAAAAGTCCATTTTATGATGTGTCATCACTTATTTTTCCCATTTACCCACTAACTCAGTGTCAAAAGGCTCTCAGGCATTCTCAGCTGTTAGTGTGCATTCAGAAAGTTCCTGCTGTATACACAGACTTCACTTACGCTTGTTCATGCCTTGAAAGATCAGATATGTAGTGGTCAATAATGTGAACAAGAGGGCAGGAGTTTTCACTCTACAAAAGTAGCCCATAGTGCCTAGGACAATGTCTGAGGCCAGAGCATGCCTTAGAAATCAGTAGAAACAATGCAGGGCCAACACATCCATCCTTACTTAGGATGCTCCATCTGCTTGCACAGCTTCTCCAGCCACCTCGGCC